ATATAACAAAATGAGAATTTGTTTTGTAAAATGAAATTATAATATGTCCTATAATTATATACACGCCGTCTCACCGTATTACCACGCGCCTTCAAATCACAACCACGTAATCTCAATCGTACGTCTCAGAAACGCGCGCGCCCATGATAACCCAGTATCGTTGTTCGCATAATATCCAGACGGACTCTCCCAATTATCCTTGGGCTTGGCCCATTACTTATGCACCCTTTTTTTGTTACTAACATCAACAAAAAACACACCCCTTGGCTTATTGGGCCCAGTCCAAAATCTGAACTTGGATCCCCTACTTCTCACACTCCCGGTTTTTACTTTGTGCAATTGTGCACCCCCTTGCCTTTTGGACCTGAATTCAATATCTGAATTCAGGCCCATGCTACTAACACCCTCCTTATTTTAATACCTCAATTATATTCACACCTCCCTACATTTTATTTTATTTTCTTTATTTTTTTTTATTATAATTATTTTTTATATTTCTTATTTTAACATATTTAATATTTAATATTTTTATTATTATAAATCATATTTTTTTCTAAACTCATTCTAATACTCTTTATTTATTTGCATAAAAATATTCTTTTAATCATACATTTAAATAAAATATTTTCATAATTAATATACTTAAAAAATATTCAACCAACAATAAAGTTTTTTTTCGTAAATAAATTAATTCAATAATTAATTTTCGAAAAAGAATACGAAGCATATTTTAATTAACTACGCATTTGATCCAAAATTTCCGCTATTCACACACCCGAACTAAGTAAGCGGAAAATGCAAATATTTTCGTAATCCATAAAAAACACAAACCCACTGCGAACTACGAATTGAGACTCTGATTCCTCATAAGATGATACGTAGGCATAAGACTAAAATCGTGGCGAGTCCTCCTAATTAATATTAAAACCCTTTTTCCCCATAATTAAAATTAAAACCCTTTTCCCCCCTAATTAAAATTAAAACCCTTTTCCCCCTAATTAAAGTTAAAACCCTTTTCCCCTAATTATACTTAAAAACCCTATTTCCTAAAAAACGCGCTTCTAAACCTAGTATCCATGTGAACAAGGTAGATGAGGGGTGCATAACACCTTCTCTTCGTCTAGAACCGAGTCCAAACCTAGAATTTCTGAACTTTTTAGGGTTATTCTTTTATAGGCCCTTCCTTAGGATAAAAATTAAGGGTGACGACTCTGTATTTAAAACCAGTTGCAACACCTACAGTTTATGACTTCCTACTCAAGTCCTCATACAAGAGACTTCCTTGCTCAATCCCTCAAGATCGAGACTTCCTTCTTAAGCCCTCAAGCAAGAGACTTTCTTGTCTAAACCTCAATTAAGGACTTTTTGCTCAATCAAACTAGATAGAGACTTGAGCTCCAAATTCTCTTTAAAAGGGAATATGTTATTAACCTTGTGTTTATATGTGTGCTTCTTAGTTAAGCAGATACACAAGGTTTTACACTTTGAGCAAACTATAAGTTAAGTAGCTCCTAAGTGTATAAGAATGAATTCTTCATTCTTTCTCTTCTTCTTATGCGCAAATAATCTTTATTGATTTGCCTTATTGTTTTGTTGATATGTTGATCATATTCACATATTCTTTATTATTTTACTCTCCTAGTCATATGTGAATATGTCTCACTCTTCTCTCTTCTCTCTTAACACGCATTAACCCTTCTTGTTAGATTTCTTCTCTTTTTTGTGTTTCTCTCATATGTGTTTTCTGTGTAACACTATTTTTCTCTCAGCCCCCATGGTGTGTTATGGTGTCACAGAGTTGTGTATAACGTCATACACACACACCCTTCTTATTCAAACTTATTCTCCTTTTATAGATTCTGAAAATATATCAGTTGAAGATTGAGACTTCCCATAGTACAGGTAATCATTGAAGATTGAAACTTCCCATAGTACAAGTAGTCATTGAAGGTATTTAGTTATAACACATAAAGTGAAGTTTAAACTCAACTATCATAAAGGCATTGAGGTGAGAACAAAAGAGTTTGCAGAATAGTTGAAGAGACGGGATCTTGACAACTTTATTTTTCTTGATTAGACATAAAGTAGTTGTACGTTATCACATGATCTTCTTTAGATAACTTCTTACTAGAGACTTATTGTAAACGTTTGTTGAAGCTTGATTAGAGACATTGTTATCTTTTATACTTAACTTCTTGAATTAAAGGCTTTTTATAGAATTGGTTAAAGCTTGATCAGAATATAGAGTATGTCTTCAGAACCTAGTTCGAATGAGACTACAAAGTCTTGAGTTCACAGGTTTTGAGCATGCCTTTATCATAGTCTTGATCAAAGCTAATCTAGATGAATACTTTTAGAGTTGTTGACTTGATAAATAATCCTTTGAAGCAAAGACTTCAAAACAATTAATGAAGTTTGTTTAGAAATTGCAGAGTCCTTATGACAATGTCTGTTATCTTCAAATGACTCTAGTTTTCATATATTGTTGATCTTTAGAATAAGTAAACTTTTATCTCAGCATCTGAAAGACTTGAGTTTGACTTCTCCAGGGTATAAAAGCACAGTTCTGATCCTTTAGATTCATAACAGCTTTGCACCCTTAATGGTTCTTCTAAGTAATTATTATTATCAAGGTTAATGTTTTTTGATCCTGCACATTTGAACAACCGTTAGTAAAACTTTGTTGCTCTTTAAATATTTTTTATCATCAAAACCTTTTAAGGGTCTGAACAAATCTTGTTCTAGCACTAGGAGTTTTCGTAGGCTGATTTGATTCAGATTTAAGAGAATCTGATGTCCAAACTGATCAAAATATATAGATTGGTTTGGATTTTCACATTTTTGTGATAAAATCCAAAATAAACAGAATCAAGAAACAACGGGTTGGTTTGGGTTGGATTGATCAGATACTTAAAAACAAATGTGCGAAAAAAATTCAAAAAAAAATTTACATCAATTACTTTTCCCTAATATATAAAAAACCTCAACTTCTTTCGTTTCTCTAAATAGGTTATGAAGGTAACAAGTGACTTTTTTTTTTCTTGAAGTTTGATACCTTATACTTATTTTAATAATAATGATGATATAAATTATACGAATTAATTATAGTTGGTTTGGATAGACAGATTCACGGATTGAGTTTTAAAAATATATTGTTTGAATCAATTAACATCAAATTTCATTGATTTATAATTCAATTTTTACTCAAATTAAACAAATATCTGAACCAAATATTATAGTTTAGTTTAGATTTCAGTTTAGTTCGGATTTTAATTGTTTATATATATTTCCTTTTCTCTTTTTGATTAATGGTATATAAATTTTTTATTAATTCAATTTATACCGACAATACAAAAACATTTTATAGTATTAATTAATAAGAGATATATATTCAATTAAATGATATTTTTATTTTTAAAATACTGATATAATATAACAAGTATAAGAATTTCAATCAATTATATATATAATATTTATGCAATATCTTTGTTAATATATGTCTTAATATTAAAAAATAGTCTTGAATAAAAATATAAAATTATTAGTAAAATGTAATAAATTGATTAATACAGTTTATAATTTAGTTATTAAGTGTGATGACATCAAAAAAAAAATCTGATTAAGTAACTCATTCTTGATATATATATATATATATATATATATATATATATATATATATATATATATATATATATATATATATATATATATATATATATATATATATATATATATATATATATATATATATATATATATATATATATATATATATATATATATATATATATATATATATATATATATATATATATGTGTGTGTGTGGGTTTGATTAATATAATTTATAATTTGGTTAATGAATTTTAAAATTTTAATAGAAATCTTAAGTGGTAATATAAAATTGGTTAATTATAAAGGTTAGTTAATATATTTTATAATTTAATATTTGAAAATAATGTATATTATATAATTTATTAGTTAATTAATTATTGAAACTGATTAATAAATTATAAATAATATAAATAATTAATAACATTTTTTTTATTAATAGAATAATAAAATTGGTTAATGATAGAATTTTCTATGTGTTATAAATTACTTTTTTTGAAAAATATGTTTTGTGAATATTATTTTATTATTTTTAAAAAAATTGAAAAAAACGTTTAATGGTAAACATTACCTGCAACTTATATATATATATATATATATATATATATATATATATATATATATATATATATATATATATATATATATATATATATATATATATATATATATATATATATATATATATATATAACTAATCTATAAACATTAATAAATGTAATATAATTTGATTAGATACTTTGTACATAAATATTTTATAGCGGAAGGTTATAATTTAATTTAGTGTAGTGTAGCTATATTAGACTAAGGTAATTTAACTTTGAGAGTATACGATCTAAACCAACTAATTAATAATTGAAATTAAAGAAACAGGTAGAGGATGCTTTTTCATTGAAAGTTTGGAACACACCGTCGTTTATATGATATTAAGTACACATGATATGAATGTAAAACAAACAGCACCGATTGAAGTTACATTTCTCTAACAATTATGGCTTGTTTTGCGATACAAGTTTGGTAAATGAAAGAAAGAAGTTTCGTCTTGATGAGAGGTGCCAAGAACAGACTAATTTCGAGTTGTCACTGAAGTGTCAGAGTGTGTCAGTTTGATCAAGATGTGTACAAAGGTTTAGAATTTTAACTTTTTCTCCTTTTGTGTGAAAAACAGATGCAACGAACGCTGTGAATAATTGTGGAAAAAACAGTGTGCATGCATTAAATGCTACGAGCTACTATTGTTAGTAGTTGAAACGAATTAAAGAGTTAGAGGGGCCAATATAGTAGAATATATACCCTTCCTGGGGTTATAAAAGCCTCTCATCATGCTAGCTTATATGTACTACACCAACCATAGGAGTAAAGAGAGTGTGAGTGATTTGATATAGTAAAGATGTTACTAGGGAACAAGAAAGCAGCTTTATTGTTATTGCTTTGTGTGCATGTTTTTGTGGCCAATATTGTGGTTGCAAGGAATGTGGCAAATGTAAACAATGAAGAGGAGAAGAACCTTTTAGGATTTGGTAAGGGAGGTGGATTTGGAGTTGGATTTGGTGGAGGGGCAGGAGCTGGTGGAGGTGGTGGATTTGGAGCTGGAGGAGGTGGAGGACTTGGGGGTGGTGCAGGTGGTGGAGGAGGGTTTGGTGGAGGTGCAGGTGGGGGCGGTGGACTTGGAGGTGGAGGAGGGTTTGGTGGAGGGCATGGAGTTGGAGGTGGGATAGGAAAAGGTGGAGGACTTGGTGGAGGCGGTGGTTTTGGAAAAGGTGGAGGATTAGGAGGTGGAATAGGTAAAGGTGGAGGACTTGGAGGTGGTCATGGTGGGGGCATTGGGAAAGGTGGAGGTTTAGGAGGTGGTGGTGGCTTTGGAAAAGGTGGTGGTGTTGGAGGAGGTGCAGGTGGTGGCATTGGTAAGGGTGGAGGTCTTGGTGGTGGAGGAGGCTTTGGAAAAGGTGGTGGTGTTGGAGGTGGGATTGGCAAAGGTGGAGGTCTTGGAGGAGGTGGTGGAGGAGGCTTTGGAAAAGGTGGTGGTGTTGGAGGTGGGATTGGCAAAGGTGGAGGTCTTGGAGGAGGTGGTGGTGTAGGAGGTGGAATCGGCAAAGGTGGAGGTCTTGGTAGTGGTGGAGGTTTTGGAAAAGGTGGTGGTGTAGGAGGTGGAATTGGCAAAGGTGGAGGTCTTGGTGGCGGTGGAGGCTTTGGAAAAGGTGGCGGAGTTGGAGGTGGATTTGGTAAAGGTGGAGGTTTAGGTGGTGGTTCTGGTGGAGGTGGCGGTTTAGGTGGTGGTGTTGGAGGTGGTTCTGGCACTGATATTGGTGGTGGAATCGGAAAAGGTGGAGGTTTAGGTGGTGGTGTTGGAGGTGGTTCAGGTGGTGGTGTAGGTGGAGGTGTTGGAGGTGGTTCAGGTGGAGGTTTAGGTGGTGGTGTTGGAGGTGGTTCAGGTGGTGGTGTAGGAGGAGGATTTGGTAAAGGTGGAGGTTTTGGTGGTGGTGCTGGTGGAGGTTCTGGCGGTGGTATTGGTGGGGGATTTGGTAAAGGTGGTGGCTTTGGAGGTGGTTTTGGTGGAGGAGCTGGTGGGGGTGGCGGTTTTGGTGGGGGTGGCGGAGGAGGTGGAGGTGGTGGAATTGGAGAGTTGCACCAGTGAGCATGTGATATAGACTAATATATCATTATATTAAACTTGTATTGTTTATGCATTGAGATTTTACAACAAAAATTTGTATGAGTGCGATTAAAAATATTACTCTTTAATTATATGGCTTATCATATTAATATATGAAATTTTCTCCGATAACACTGAATAAAAGAGTTAGATATATGTATTTACTCTTCTTGTATCCTCATTAATTAATATTACTAATATAAGTAAGAAAAATCACTTTATAAGTTATACATCTGACATTAATCTTGTTCAACATGCATGCATGCTGAGTTTGATAATTGGTTGAAAATTTCTAATGAGTTGACTAGTGTGCTCTTGTGATTAAGATCATAATGTACAGATTGATTATTAAATTAGTTTGTGATAATTATGTTGGAGGTGTGTTTTTTTTAAGAAAAAATATTTTTTAAGATCCAAACACTTAAATGATAATAATAATCACAAACTTTTGAAAAAACTTTGGTATGTTCACAAACATTTCAATAATCAATCAGATCTCAAATGAAGAATAATGAGCGCCCTGATTCTTTCCATATCCATCAAATTTTTATTTTGGAAGTGATTTCTTTTACTATTTAGATATTAGGCACCCCTATAATTTGCTTTTTCCATACAATTCTAAATTTAGATATGTTTTATTTTCTGTCAAGATAGTAGGGAAACATAATGTTAGAGTTTGTGTTAGGTCTGCCTTAAAATATGAACGAGAAAAAGATGTAAATGGATTATTTGACATATCTCTTTTATGATATTTTGAAAATCTTAACATAAATTGCACATTCACATTAAATATATCGATCAATGATATTTTATCGAATAAAATTCGTTCATTTATTCTCGTGTACTAAAAAAAATAAAAAGAAATGACTTAGATATAATTTTATGCACTTGAAATATGGTAATTTTTGTGTCTATTTTATGTCTAACAAAAATCTCTATTTATAGAAAAATTTGTACTAATTGATGAGGAGAAACAATATTTCAAATAGTTTCAACATGATGTATATTTCCAACATTCAAAGTTGTCATGAAACGTTGCTTTGGTATGTGCGGTAGTAATTTTTGGCCATCTATTTTATTATTGTATTAAATATATTTTTGGTCCTCACAAATACAGCGATTTTCATTTTTAGTCCCTCTAAAAATTTCCTTCAAAAAATGGTCTCTCTAAAATTTTTCATCCACGCTATTTCGTGACGCTAAGACCATCTCCAACGGTCATTAATTTATGTTTCGTACGCCAGGTGTAAACAAAATTCAAAGTCATTATACGACGTGCATGCGAACAGTGTAAATACAATACGACGGTAATTTTAATTAAAATAATAATAAAATATTATAGTTGTTACTCAACAACTCTTTTTGCTTTTTTATTTTATTTTTTATTTTAATAATTTATTTGGTTATAAATAGAAGCAAATGCTACTCAAATTTTATCTCACAAATTTATTCCTTACTCATAATATTTTAAATTTTTCTCTCACAATTTCATCTTATTTGCCTTCAATTGATCATATATTTTACTAAAATTTTCATTTTTTTTAGTTCAAATTATTATTGTTAACGCTAAATGGACCCTAATCAATATAATTTTCAACAACCTATGTTACATATCATGCAAAATCAGCAAAATTCTAATCCTCAAAATTTTCAATTTCCCTCACCGCCAACAAACTCTACCGTATTTTTTCCGTCACTATACCACCCAAATATGCATTTTTCTCATCATGAACCTGAAACACCAAATGAGTTTATGTCTGAATGTCAAGTTCCACAATTTTCAACTCAAGTTGGTATTGAAAATATTACAATTGAAAAAGAACAAAAGCGTTCTGTTAAAAAAAACCTCGAGAGGTATTCACAAGGGAAGATGATACACTTCTTATGCAATCATGACTCAATGTTTTAAAGGATCCAATTGTGGGAGTTGATCAAAAAGTCGATAGCTTTTGGTTAAGAATCACCGATCATTATAACCAATATCGTGGGCAGTCACGAGAAAAGCTACACGGCCAATTAAAATCTCGATGGCATTGAATAAATGGCCTGGTTCAAAAATTTGTTGAGTGTTACAAACAAGTTGTTCATGGAAGAAAAAAAGCGGGTCATCAGAGAAAGATATCTTAGTCAATGCACATGCTTTTTTTGAACAAGATGAAGGTGCACCATTCAATCTTGAGTATGCACGGCGGCTTTTAAAAGATGAACCTAAATGGATGGGAGCATCCATTGAAAATTCTTCAAAGAGAACAAAGAATTCTGCTAGCGGTGCATACACGACATCGCCAAACTCAGAGACACCTTGAAGTTATGAGTTTAACTCATCATCTCCAATGGAGCGTCCAATGGGACAAAAGGCAGCAAACTGAAAAGGTAAGGCAAAGGAAAATGCAAATGCAACTAAACCTCTTTCTAGTGTTATTTATGATATAATGAATAAAAGAATAGATTTAATGGAAAATCTAGTACGACTTAAGGAGGAAGAAAACAAATCAATCAAGGAAAAGATGGAGTATGAAGCACGACTTAAGGAGGAAGAAAATAAATTAGTCAAGGAAAATATGGAGTTTGAAGTAATGCAATTCATAATTTCAAACACTTCTAAGATGAATGATAATCAACGTGAATTTCATGAAAAACGTTGTAATAACCTAAAAGAAAAATATGAATGGTAATAATATGCAATGCTCTAGTATTTATTATATTTAAATATTATGTAGTACTTGTTATGTATCAACAACTATTGTAATAAGATGCAATATTCTAGTATTTATTATATTTCAATATTATGTAGTACCTGTTATGTATCAACAACTATTATAATAAGATGCAATATTCTAGTATTTATTATATTTAAATATTATGTAGTACTTGTTATGTATCAACAACTATTGTAATAAGATGCAATGTTCTAGTATTTATTATATTTAAATATTATTTGAATTAACCGTTATTCAAACTAGCTGTTATTCAAACTAGCCATTATTCAAACTAACCGTTATTTAAACTAGTCGTTATTCAAACTAGCCGTTATTCAAACTAGTCGTTATTCAAACTAGCCTTATATATACTTTCATTCTTTTATCACTTTTCTGCCACCCTCTCTCATTCTTCTATCATTTTTCTATCACCCTTCTCTCATCCTTCTCTCATTCTTCTATCATTTTTCTATCACCCTTCTCTCACTTCAATGGATTCAAACAATTCAAACAACCTCAACAAAATTTTCTGGGAGGTGATTGAAGAAGAACTTATGGACAACACAGATGAAGAACTATTGTTGTCAATGCTCGAGAAGGAACGTCATTCTGGAAGTTCACCAAGGCGAAAAAGAAGATCAGTGATAGATAGGAATCGTGAAGAAGGGCATATAAGATTAGTCAACGACTACTTCTCGGAAAATCCAGTATATACAGATGCCCAATTTCGTAGAAGGTTCATAATGCATAAGCATTTATTTCTTCGAATTGTAGAAACCCTTGGAAATCATGATGAATATTTTCAAATGAGGGTCGATACAACTAGTAAAATGGGTCTTTCACCATTGCAGAAGTGCACTTCTGCTATTCTTATGTTGCCATATGGATCTCCCGCTGACATTGTAGATGAATGTGCTCGAATTGGTGAAAGCACTGCAATCGAGTGCTTAGATAGATTTGTAAGGGGGCGTGAACGAGGTATTTGGGGCCGAGTATTTGATAAGGCCTAATAATAATGATGTTGAACATCTTTTATAAATGGGAGAGTCACGTGGACTTCCAGGCATGCTAGGTTCTATTGATTGTATACATTGGGAATGGAAGAATTATCTTGTTGCATGGAAAGGACAATTTTGTCGAGGTGATCATGGTAAACCCACAATCATGCTTGAAGCAGTGGCATCACAAGACTTATGGATTTGGCATGCATTTTTTGGTATTGCAGGTTCAAACAATGACATTAATGTGCTAAACCAGTCCAATATGTTTAACGATATTTTGGAAGGACATGTTGCTACTGTGCAATATACAATCAATAGGATTCCATATAATATGGGGTATTATTTAGAGGATGGTATATATCTTGAGTGGGCTACATTTGTGAAGACCATTTCAATGCCGCAAGGAGAAAAGAGAAAACTCTTTGCACAACACCAAGAATCAGCTAGAAAGGATGTGGAATGGGCATTTGGAGTGCTTCAATCTCGATTTGCAATAATACATGGTCCAGTGCGTGTTTGGCACATGAAAACCCTCAAGCATACCATATATGCTTGCATCATATTGCACAACATGATTTTCGAAGACGAACGACACACATATGGAGGTGATTTTGATTACTCTTATGATAATGTAGATGATACATACTCAACAATTGAACCATTTAACGGTCCTCATCCGAATCTTGCAACAAGACTACAAAGAAGCAAAAGTCTTCGTGAAAAACAAGTTCATCGCCAACTTCAAGGAGATCTAGTCGAGCATATTTGAGAATGTTTTGGACATGAGAATGGTGAAAATTAAATTTGAGTAATTTTGTAATGTTATTTATTTTTATTGTTTTTAATTATATGTCATGTATTTGAGATTAATTTTAATTATCATTTTAAAGTTTATGTTTAATTTTAATTTTATTTATTTTATATTAATTTAAATTTAAATAATTTAGATTATTATTTTAAATAAAATAAAATTTAAATGAGTAAAATATTAATAATAAAGTAAAGATGTGAGGCCTAATATGAGTTCTTTAGAGTTGCATCATTAGAGTGAAAATTGAGTGAGCCGCTTCAAGATGATGTGGCTTAATGGGTCCCACAAGAAACCCAAAAATGAATTGCACCATTGGAGATGCTCTAAATGGCACTAATGGGGGATGACGTGGCATGATAGTTGGATTAAAATATTAATTTTCCTGATAAAAATCCAAAATTCTTTAGATTTAGGGGGTTACAAATCCAGAAAATTCAACCAAACCCAACATTCTCATTGCTCCACATATTTCTATCACATGAAAAAATAATGCTCCATATTATTTGATCATCGTTATCCAACTTCACGATGAAGGAGACTCTATTAATATGAACTTAATCAGAAGTTAATTAAAATCACCCATCAGTCCCCACACCACGACAACACACTAACACTTACAACAAAACCAAACCAAAAACTAAACCCAACTCCCATTCAATCTCATTTGTGCGCACCTTCTCCTCCTCACTTCCGCCATTTCCATCACCTTAGATCTCTCTTCCACTTCACCCTCACTCCTTCCCCTCCATTTCTCCAAGTTGATTTCATTAGCAGACTTCAAAAGAAACCCAAATTCCTCAGGAACAAGACCTTCAAGGTTGTTGTTATAAAGCCCAAGAAAAGTTAGATTTTTCAAATAAAACCCCATTGAAGGTTGGATTTCACCAACCAAACCCATTTTAGAAAATCTTATTTTTTCAACACCACCCAGTTTTTTCCATATTTCCGGAATCTTACTGGAGAGTGAGTTTCCACTTAAATAAACTTCCTTCATTTTGGAGATTTCTCCTAAGAACAAAGGGACACCATAGTTACCAAAATGGTTGAAGCTTAAATCCAAAAACTCTAATTTTTTCAAGTCAATAAAATTATCTGGGATTTTACAAGCAAACCCATTTCGGCTCTAGTTAAGTTTCACAAGAGAAGCGGGATTCTCAACCTGTTCAGGGACACACCCTTTGAAGTCGTTATGACTGAGATCAAGAATCTCTAGTTTCTTCAGCATGCCGATACTAGCTGGAACCTCGCTGGAAAGATTGTTTCTTGAGAGATTAAGGTGTTCCAGATTTTGAAAACCACCAATATTCGTCGTAAGTTTACCGTAAAATCTATTTCCGATCAAGATAAGTGTTTTTAGAGAGGTGAGGTTGTGGATGAATGGTCCAAGAGGTGAAACGATGAATGGGTTGTCAATGAAGATAAGTTGTTAGAGAGATAAAGGGAAATAAGGAAGTGAAAGAAGGTGAATGGAGTGGAAGGAGTTAATTTTGTATATATAACTCATGTTGTTCAATTCATCTGTCATATTTTTTACAGATTAATTTTTTGAAATATGAGACATGTGATTCTGTGGCAAAAGATGAAACAAAGAAAGAGGATGTCTGTTTGAGTTTCAATTAAGGTTTCAAACCCTCACAATCTAAAATGTTTTTTTTTGCAGTGTAAGCAACTTAGAGTGATATGGCCACTGTTAAAACAATTTTTTTAAAAAAAAATTATTCCACCTGTCCTACCACATCATCAGCCGTTAGTGGAATTTAACGTCAAAGACCAGTTATGTGGATGGAAAATTTTGTAGGGACCATTCTTTGAAGGAAAATTTTAAAAGGACTAAAAGTGAAAATCATTACATTTATAGGGACCAATAACATATTTAACCCTTTATTATTTTAATGAATAAATCTCCAAAATTATTCAAACAAAAGATTTGAACTTGTGACTTTTTACTCAATAGAAAAAGTCACAACCACTACAAGAAGGAGAGGAAGAGGGGGCACTTCTAACCACAGACGTGAAATGTATTTTACCTCAGCAAAAGAAACGAGGTAAACAAGGTCATCGTAAAAAGTAAAGACTTATTGTAACACCACAATTTTAATAATTAGTTATTTATGTTATTATTTAGTTATATATATTATATTAATTAATTATTTGAGTGAATTCGTGCATAAGTGATTTATTTTATTATTGGAAATATGCTATGTGATGGGTTAGTCGAGTTAAGTACGTCGAATCGTAGAGTTATAGTTAGTAATAATGTCGGATTAAGATAGAATTATTTTATTAGTGATAATTATAGAAAAATAATAGAATAAATGTATTTGGGCCTAATTATGGGTATGATAGGTGATCCCACTAGTGTTTACTAGGTTAGTGATATTTTAGTATTAGTTAAATAAAAAGATAAGGCTTAATTGCAACTTTGGTCCCTCTGTTTAGTTTTTTTATTGATTTTGATCCCTCCATTATAAAAACCACTATTTTAGTTCTTTTTTAAGTTTTCTGTTGAATTTTGGTCTCCCTTCAAATCTGAGTGTATTTTTGTATGACGTGGCACAATTTTTGCTTATGTGTCAATGCCATGTCATTTTAATATTAATATAATTATATTTTATTTCAAATAATAAAGCCTTTATTATTTTGGTGTTAAATGTTAAAATTAAAAAACATAAAATCCTCAAATAATTGTCTCACAATGAGACTCGAGCCTTTGCCCTTCCTCTTAAAATACCAACGCCCTTACCACGGGGTTAGCTATTTTCATTTGTAAATCAACCCTCAAATGTTTACTTCTTTCAATCTTCTGCAACTGACCAAAGAAAATCAGATTCTCTCTCTGTACGCTTTCAAACTCTCTCTCTCTCTCTCTCTATATATATATATATATATATATATATATATATATATATATATATATATATATATATATATATCAATCGAATCCACCATTATAGCACAATTCAACCATTTCAAAAATTTGACCAAATCCAGAAATAAGATATACCAAACCATGCAGTTCCTCCTCTTAATCCCAAATACTCCACTCGAAAATTCAAAATCAAAACCAACATTATTTAACTTGAAACTTTGTCCAGAGACCCTAACTAGTTCAATTGAAATTAAATTATGAATATCAAGCAATTAAAACAAATATTATAGGGATTGTGCTCAACAAGTTATGACAATCAGTGGTATAGAAATGTGAAGAAGAAGAAGAATATACATGGTCGGAGCTAGTCCGACGAGTTTATGGTTCTGACTAACGTAAAAAAAAAACTCAAGTATGGTGTTTGGCTCTTATTCTTTGCGTGTTGATTCTCCTCTCTTATCCCACTTTTTTTGCTTTCCTTTTATCTAATTCTGTTTCTGAAAATTGGATGTGTCGTGTGCATGTCGGTATTACTTTGTGGGCAATGATATGGTTATATTGCAATATGTTGTTGTCTAAACTTTGCAGGTTTTGTTTAGTTGTTCTTGTAGGTTCTTGTTGCTTGTGGTTCTGGATTTTGGTGGATGGTGGATTTTGTTGTGAAATAATTGTTGCTATAACTCTTTTTGGAAAATGCGGGTTTACACAGAGTGAAGGTTTTGATTCTACTGCTAAAAATTCTGTAGAGTTTGATTACCTCATTGAGGAAATCGTTTGAGAGCGAACAAGAGAGGTGACGAAAATAGTTTGTTTGATTCCTCTTTTGAGCACCTTCATAGGAATCCATGGTGGAGGACGGATGTTCGCTCGCACAGTGGAAGAGAAAGCATTTGGGAAAAGGGTGTGTGTTTTCTGTGTACTGATAGAGGAGACAGCACCAAGTGGTTGTCAATTATTTCCTGCCTAAACATGAGACCAACTAGTAAAGTAAATGGAAGCTCGTTCAAATTATATTGTATGGAATATTAATAGATGAATTCATTTTAATTTATATGTTCTAAATATTATACTGCATGTTCTAAATGTATACTATATATAAAAATCGTTTGGAAAATTAATAAATGAGTCTGCATAGCCCAGTGGTAAGGGCGTTGGTATTTAAAGAGGAAGGGCAAAGGTTCGAGTCTCATGTGAGACAATTATTTGAGGATTTTATGTTTTTGAATTTTAATATTTAACACCAAAACAATAAAGGCTTTATTATTTGAAATAAAAAAATAGTTATATTAATATTAAAATGACATGGGAAAACTTAAAAAATGGACTAAAATAGTGGTTTTTATAATGGAGGGATCAAAATCAAGAAAAAATCTAAAAAGTTGCAATTAAGTCAAAAGAGAAAATAGAGTTGGTAAGGGAGTAAGGAGAAGGAGGCTAAAGTAGAGAAAATGAGAAAAGGGAGAAGAACCCTAAGGAGAAATTAGAAAGGATCAACAATCAAGGTAAGGGTGGAGTTTCATTTGATTATTGAGATTGTTGATAATGCATGATGGATAATAGCATGTTTTAGGATCAATTTCCCTAAATTTCAATACTTGTGAATGCTAGGTTTTTGAATGATAATCCATGAATTTGATGAATGATTATGTTTTGATGTTCCTAATTGAAAATACACTTTAGATATTGAAATTAAAATTGTTACATTGTTTTGACGATAACACGTTTTGATGAATGAAAAAAATTGTTACATTGTTTATCCAGAATATTAAAATTAAAATAAAAATCAAATTCCCTTAAGATTTATACTTTAAATCTTTGAATTATTGAATCTAGGTGAAAATCAAATGTTGGGTGCAAGAATATTCTCTACGGATCTTGCATGCATTTGTTTTTTGTGGAAAAAAGGGTAAGATAATTAATGTCAATAATAAAAAAAAATTGGTACAAATAAAAATTTAATAAAACAAATATTGAACCCAGATGATTTTCTGCTCTTGCAATCCACTGTAAAGAACTTTCCCAAGCGTCCTTAGGTTTCAAGCACGTCATATCTTTCATTTAGGTTACATTTCCAATATCTTAAGAGAACTTATATAGTGAATGTCCCTTACTTTTGACACGGATCACTAATGCATATTCTTGAGCATTGATAACCTTTAAATGGACGGTAAAGATTTATTTAAGGTCGTTGAAAATAGTGAAAAATAATACTTAACTATTCTCTCGATTTTGGAATTAAATCGAGGGGTTAGATTAACTTCTTTTTTTTTTACAAAAATGATTACATTGTTTACCCAAAATATTAAAAAAAAATATTGTATGCAACAAATCTTTGCAAAATATCAAGATTATTTACCTAGAATATTAAAAACACAACATGTCCAAGTCACATACAAGATGCTAGAGATTTTTTCCCCATAAGAATTTTTATTTTTCGCTGAAATCCATCTTCTGAAAAGTTAAGCTCTCATCTTTGTTTAACCTTTCAAAGGTTGATCTCCCTTCTTTGTGTAACTTAAATAAAGAATGATTTTTCTGCACTTGCAATCTATCAAATAAGCAAAAATATAACAACAACAACAACAACAATTCTCCACACAAAAATAGAACACCATTTTGTGAGATAGATTACAAGGGCAGAAAAATGTTTTGTTCTATATAGAAGAATATTGAAGATTTTTTTGTCTTGTAATCTATCCTAAATAATGATGCGAGTTTGATGTGGCTTCATATTAGAATGGATTAGGGTCAAATCTATTGATTTCTTTATAGTAAAATATGACTATTATACCTTTCGGTTTATTTATAAAACTGAGGTAACATTATTATTATTTTTAACTATCTCCTCGATTAAGGTTAAAATCTGAGGTGATAGGTATTATTATAATTTTTTAATATTACACTGTCTACACATAATATTAAAATAAATTGTTTACAACAAATCTCTTTAATAATTTTTTTGCACTTGCAATCCATCATAAAGATGTTGATTCTTAAATGTCAAAACTTTGTATCCAAGATTGATTGTTGATGATATCATTATCACTGTCTTCACTAGTGTATACAATATGCATGCTTTAAATGCATCCAACTTCTAATAAGGTGTTTGTTCCAAATATTGGAAA